ATGTGACCATCGTAATTTTCGTGCCATTTAACCTATATAATGTCTAATCGCACGGCTGTATCTCTTGCATGCAACAGGCCCATTACAGAATGTCTCAATCCAACCCAAATAATCAGTGGCGTAACGGGCGCCCCCGCAGACCCTGCTATGCAGGGGGGCCCTGGCGCCTAGGGGGCCCTCGGCCGCCGGAATTTTTTTCTCTCTCTCTCTTTGATCCTCAGCTTTGGTTTCAAACTTTGGGCCTTTACTTATCGAGATGGGGCTTCTTCCTTTGATTTTTATTGTTAGCTCGGGGTTTTTCATACTTTTCTTAGACTGTTCCTAACTTTTTGTTTGCTGGAGGGCCCCTGCCTTCCCATGTCCACTCAATGATTCCACTTTTCGTATTTCGGGTTTTGGGAGGCCCAAGAATCTAAAAGCCTTGGGGGCCCTTTGATTCATGGGCCTGGGCTGAGCTCCCGCCTTCCTTTAGATCATTGATCTTTTAGGGGCTCCATTTAATCGGGCACTTTTACGTTTTTATTTTTTTTAAATATATTTATTTGCGCAAACATGCAAGTGAATCAAATTCCACCTCAGAACATAAAGTAAAAGAAAGCTAAATCCTGCACATACCATACCTAAAGGTAAAAAGATATAAGCTGCTGCCACTTTGATTTTTTGGTGGTTAAGGCTGATTTTCTCAAAAATTTTCGGGCTGCGGGCCTAGACCATACGAGAAAAAACGGGAAGGGGTGAGGAAGGGAGAGGGGGGGATAATTTTGGAATTTTATCGACTTAGGAGGCCCCTAGAAAAAATTTTGCAGGGGGGGCCAGCGGAAGTCCGTTACGCCACTGCAAATAATCGATTCCTCAAATCCTCATCCGAACTTTCACACCAGTCCCCAACGAAAGACGGCATGCTTTTCCCTCGTGCGCACAGTCTTTAATGCCAGGCTTAAAAGGCGTCTGTCTCCCCGCGGACTCATCACATACATTGTATTTGCATCACTTTGAATGGCGTAGCTAGCTACGAAGTTATGCGCGTGCACGCGACGGGACGGATGCCTCATTTCGCGGGGTTTGGCGATCGCCGGACGGCCTTGAACCCCCCACGCCCCCCACTGCGGCGCGAATTTTCAATGTCAAGGCGAATTTGAATCCCAGCCTCGGAGGGGCTCCCTGCGCCATTTCTCTTTCAACCGCGGGTTGAGAAATTACCCGTTGTAAAATTGCACTCAAGTGGTTTTTTTTTTCTTTTTTTTTTTTTTCTTGTTTACGTATGTATTTAATTTTTTAAGGTTTGTTGGTTTCAATAAAATCGTGTCATTTGCACTTGCAATAATTGATGACTGATGACATAGCAATGAAATCGATCGACAAAGCTATGGACAAAAAAGACATAGGGAGTATGGAGCGATCCTATTGGTTGAAATGGGTGGTTCCTATCGACAAGGGAGAAAATGATGGACTAACTGTCGGGTTTCTCGTGAGTTGCCGTTAGTTAGTCTATTACCTACGTCCTTTGTCCATTCCAACCACCCGCTTTCACCAATAGGATCTCTCCATACCTCTTTTATCTCCTTTGTCTGTAGCTTTGTCGATCAATTTCAATAATCGGCCCGCTTTTCGAGTCAATTTTGATTTAGAAATGGAGTTACGTCCTTTCATTTAAAGGAAACAACGAGTTCTTTTTTTTTTTTTTTTTTTTTTTTTTTTTATTCATCAAATTATGTTACAACCACCTTATCCGAGAATTAGGCCGATTAGCCGTGCAAGGCTAGATTGCCCGTAACCTACAAACCAACAACAACAACCACCTGTTTACAAGTGTAAATAAACTTTGTTTTACAAATATAATAACAACCAAATTAACAATTTTTAATTTTCATTTTTAACTTTTGCATGTATAACCTATTCTCGCACAGCACCCAGACTAAATTCATACATCTTAAAACTAGAGTAGTGGATAAAGAGTTCTGAGGGTTTTTTTTTTTTTTTTTTTTTTTTTTTTTTTTTTTTTTTTAAGATAAACTCTTTCAATGAATTAACAGAGAGACACAGCAAAATCTGCACACATTTAGCAAAGTTAAACACGTTTTGCGGCTCTTTCAGAATATGTTTAAGCTTTGTGAAGTTTTCGTTTGAGCAAGGCCACGGTCGCGTCCCTGAAAAGCGTGAAAAAGTTCAAATGGTGTCATGCATAGTGGGTGCTCTGTGTTGGGAGCCCGGTCAAGTTGAATGGTTGCTGCTTCGCGGTCGAATCTCCACTAATTAAGCTCCGCCTGTCTGGCGCGCTTTCAAACCATGTTGTCAAATTTCGTCGAACAATTTATTTCTTTTTCTTTTTTTTAGGAAAACGGTGGTGAGGATTCTTTTGAAAATTTCAGGGAATTTGCTCCACGTTACATAGGATATCCCCCCAAAAATCCACAGTGCCGCTTTTGTATTGGAAAAGTAAATCATTCGATTAAATTTGGCAATGGCTTCTCGATTTTTTCTTATTTAAAGAGACTTTGTGCCGAAATTTCTCATGGAAAAATTTTCATGAGGAGTCCCCAGCCGCCCCCCCCCAAAAAAAAAGGAATTGAAAAAATAAAAGAAATTAAGAAATACTTTTAAAAAAATTAAAATTGTATTATAATAGTAGAAATTGAAAAAGTTGAAAAAAGTGAAAAAATATAGTGAAAAGTAAAAAAAAAGAAAGACAGTAGTAATAGTAGTAATATAAGTTTATTTTAAAGTGGTGCTTTAGCATCTAAGGCCAGTTACACCTCTGTGCGTTTACATGGAAATCAAGGTTACATCAGTAAAAATAAAAAAGGGTTGAGGGGAAAGGTTAAATTTTGAGTTCAGTGGAGCGCATAAATTCAAAAAGTTTTATTGGATGAGTATTCAGAAGTACATTTTTAAGAGAGGGTAAGGGGCAAGGAAAAAAACGTTTTCGGATTTCTTTATAAATTGGGCAACTTATAAGAACGTGAACTACTGTTAAGGGGGAATTTGGACAAGAAGTACAAGCAGGGCGATTTGATTGGGAAAGAAAGCTTGACAAATTTGAAAAGTCAGGTAATTCAGTAATCTAAGAAACTTGTAAAAAAGACTGAACTTAATGAAAAAAATAACAAAAAAATTCTAAGAATATTAAAAAAAGCATAGCGAGGTGGGAAAAAAATGAAAGAGTGAAAAAATATAATTAAGTGTTACCAAAAGAAAAAAAAAAGAAAAAAATTGAAAAGTTAGGGAGTTCAGTAATCTGAGAAAACTTGTAATCCTCTCATGGCAGTGAGGTATTATAAATATCGTCGAAGGAAAAGTGTAGAATGGCGGACTTAGCAACAGCGTATCGAAAGCGTTGTCTAAGATTATCGACCCCGCCCGGGTTCGGAAGTCCCGACCTTGCCCGCACCGCCGAAAAGTGACCTCCTCTGGCCCCCGTCTTATTTCCCTACCACCCCCTGCCCCCGTGCTGAAAGATGCAGAGGAAAGCTCACCCTCATCCCCCCCTCCCCACGCGCGTGAAGCTTTCAAGCTCGCTTCTTTCCATTCGGATTCAGCGCGTGTGCTTATCTGTTGCTGTGCCGGTTTATTTATGTCCAGCGTTGCCGATGTTTCGTCTCTGGTAAAATTGGATAAATAATTGAACCAGAATCGGTTCAACGTTGTCCAATTTCCTCCCATTTTGTAAACAAAATACTATGTAACGTTCCAATGTGAAATCGTGTGAATATTTTTTGTGTGACGAATAGAAAATCCAAAATCAATGTCAAGGCGCTATGTTTTTTTGTTTTTGATTTAAAAAAATGAAATTAGGCAATGTGAAATGCATTCATAGGCTGGCACAAGTTAAACTGGTTGAATTAATGTTTTGACATTGTGTGAATGGAACTATTTCGTCGTTCCACAGACGAAGGAACGTAACTTTATTCAAAGGTTGCAAAATTGACACAAACGTTTCATTGACAAGAATATGACTACAATTGTTCTATAATATTTCGCCTACTTGTGGGTCCAATCATGAAAAAAATCAGCAAGAGTCTCAGTTAGAAATCTCCCAAGTCTTTAAAAAATACGATTTGTTCAAATTAAATTTAAATTTGCTTCGTACCATGCAGAAAATTCACTGAAATTTGTACAAAAATCCGCACAACGGTTTTCATGTGAAAAATTCAAATGCCCAATTTAAGTTGGTAATAGCTGGATGTGGCTTGGTTCCATCCTGTAAAACGCGGCCCAATTAATCAGCAGCAACTTTGGAAGGTCAGGGACAGTTGGTTAATTGTAAAATTCAAGGAAACTTGTCACTCTGCTTCATGAAAAATTTCTTACCACTCCGCTGATACCCAGCATATTTCACCCCTCCCCAGAATAAAATTCAATGTCTCAGAATGTTTCAATATTCAACTCTTGCTCATGGCTGTGCATATGTCGAAGGCAATTAGTCAAATCAGGCATTTTATCAAAAGCCTAGGCAGATAGTCAAATTTTGAGCATTTTCGTAGTTCTAATGTTTTTGACAAAGGGCTTTCAAGTTGTCAGCGTTTCCAGGGTAAAAACTATCAAATTCTCAACATATTATAGTATTCATCTTTCTAAATGCTCCTCGTGCGTTTTAATTGTAAAAATTTAAGAAATTCTGTATTTGATGAGATTTTGTACGTTTTGAGATGAATCTTGGTTTAAGAGTGAGAGATTTTTACAGATACCATTGTATGATGCACTTTTTTAAAGTGAATATTTTCCAACACAAGTAAAGAATTATTCATTCTAAAACAAGCAAAAGAACCAAAATTTCAATTCGAATGGAATTATTAGTAAAATAATCCCACTTGATTTGAAATTTTTTGATTTTTTTTTTAATTTTTTAATTTTTTTTTGTTTTGTTTTTTTTCTTGCATCTGTCTAACAAAATGCCTAACAGATTATTTTTGCCTGCGCCGTATATTTATTTTCTGTTCATGGTGGTAATTGAGTTTTTCTCGTTGCTTATTACTAAAAAATGCCTGTTTTTTTTGTTACAGAGTCCTGGGTGGAGCTGAGCAACCCCATTACTACTCTGCCAGACAGAGTGACCCCCCTGCCATTTGCTTCGGGAGATGAGTACATTAGGCTCCTTCGGGAAGCACAGAAGGAAAGCAATCAATCCTCAGCACGTGTCTCTCTCGCCTCATCGCGGAAAACCACGCCTAGAGGCAGGTCAGTCGCTCAAAATTCCATCTTATTGATATCGGCTCTCCGGTAAAATAACAGCAAATCAGCTGCGATTGTCAACTTTCTGCCAGACAAAAAAACATCAAAACAGCCCTTAAATATATTAAATTGGTAAATGTAAATAAAATTTTCAATAATCATTAGTAAGAGAGGAGAAGACCCTGGTAAAAATTGGCGATAAGAGCTGCGTTTCAAAATACTATACGAATTCTCATAGCCGGCTAAAGAAGGCTACAGAAAATCATATAGCTGACTGTAGAATGCGGAGAAAATCATACGGCCGGGCTTAACGAAGCGATAAAAAATTATGCAGCCGGGCTATAGTTCCCATAGCCGGGCTTTACACTTTATCGTCTGGCTGTTGCTTTTTCGCCATCGATATAAAAGGCTATAAGAAATTGTGTAGAAATTCGTATGCTTTGGAAATCATTAATTTTGATACGGAACCACCTTAATATTTACAAAACACACGTTATATTTTCTTTAATACATATTTTTTTTCATTAATTAAAACGAGAATAATCCATACAGGATATGCAAACATTTCAAAATCATGAGTTGAATAACGCTGACTCCGCTAGATTAAATATTAGAGCCTAACACAAAACGGAGCGGCGACGCACTGGCGCCTACAAACCCAACAGGGATACTTTACGCATTGCGCAACGCGTGAAGTATCCCTGTTAGGTTTGTAGGCGCCAATGCGCGTTCCGCGCTGGCTGCCCGCCTGCCGCACCGTGCCGCGGCGCTTGAAGCAACTATTTCACACCAGAAGTATTGCTCAGTATCATACGAACTTGAAGGAAACTTTCTTGTTTATCTATGACTGGAAACGCACCTAATAAGTTTGAAGTTCTCAATAATTCCATCCCTAAAAAAGTAAAAAATGAAATAACGGAAGTAAATCGGTTTTTTGTTTTCTTTTTGCGAGTAACCTCAGTCGAAACTCACTCGAAATAATTCAAACTTGGTATCATGAAAAGATGCCTTTCGAAGTAAAGGAAGTGCTAACAATCGGAAGTACTCTGTTAAAAAAAAAACACTTGGGGTTAATGTTGCGAGATTGTGCTATAAAATGTGGATTATTTTAACATGGGTTTAGATACGATAGGGAAATTTCAACACTATCCGACAGCAATGCTGGGGATCTTGAAGAGCACTCGCCGGAAGCTTCTATGGTAGAGAACTTTCTTATCGAGAGGCTGACTCCATCAGTGGCGTGGCGTGCTTTGCGATATATCGATTGTTACGGCATACAAACCTATAGTAAAGAATCGATTATTAAGGTGTTCACTGCGAACACCCTGTTTATCGATCCTTCTCCATAGGTTTAAATGGCTTAACAATCGATATATCGCAAAGCACGCCACGCCACTGGACTCCATTGGAGATGAAAACGAAGCAGCGCTGCAAATACCCAGCTGTAAGCAGCAATTGCTTCGAAATGTTTTCAATCGACTTTTCCCAACCAAGCAAAGACTACACGAACGAGAGAAAAATTTGAACCGTACTCCGTTAACCAATAACAGCTCAACTCTAGTGGAAATTCAATGCGGTTACGCGGTTTTTCCCCGAGCGCGGTCAAGGAAAAGTCAAGCGCGTGACTCCGCTTCTCAGCGCTATGGCTGCTTGCGCTGACTGTTGTCGAATTTTCGCCATTTTCCCCGAGAAAATTCATTTATAATTTCATGAAAATGGAAAAACGCCGTTTGAACCTTCAGGAGTTGCGAGACCTCCTTTGATGAATCACAGATTTACTACGATGGGGAACACATTGGATCTATAGTAAAGACTCTTGAAAACATATATATATATATATATATATATATATATATATATATATATATATATATATGAGTCGCTTTTATAGCGCTCTTTGGCGCTGTGCGACGCCTAATCGCCACAAAGCTCGGTCTTCCCACAGGTCATCAGGGAGTTGACAATCTCTTATCTCATTTAACACCCCCTGTCGCCAACCTCTCATTGGGCGTCCCCTACGTCTCCTCCCAGGAGGAACCCAATCAAGCATCTTTTTTGGCAGCCTCTCTTCCGAACAACATTGACAAGAAAAAAAAATCTCGATTCAATCAGATTTTTGCTTAAATCATAAGGAAATCCGCTCAAATTAAGAGGCTTGGTCCCTGATTTAAGCAAAAATCCGATTGAATCAAGAGTATTTTTTCTTGTGGATGTTTTTAAGAGTCTGGGCGCTAGATCCAATGTGATTTTTTTTTCCAATGTTTCCTGGTAATCTTATGAATATTTTCTTTCATTTTTTTAAGGCAATATTGCTCGCAATTTCACCGAAAGTTCTTGAAAATATCAAGGAAAAATATTCATAAATCTCCTCTAAAATAAACATTTTATCGACGGAAATGTGGCAACTCTCGAATGTTCATACGGCGTTCTTCCTTAGCACGGCAGCAAATCAGCGAGCAACGAGCATACGATTGACTCACTTAACGTACTTTGTTGCATACGGCGAGCCCGCTATTTGCATTATCGTCGTCCGTTAATTTCCCGTTTTCGTTAATCGTTCGGCGTGAGATCAGTTCGGGTGTGAGACGTAACCTGTGTTATCATCGCTTGGAAACCCGGAAAGTCAGGGAATTTACGGCGACCTAAGAAAATCAAAGGAGAGTCAGGAAAATTCAAAGCATTTCAGCGGAAGCGTTTAGCAGCAGCCAGCGAGCAGTGGCGTGGCGTGCTTTGCAATATATCGATTGTTATACCATTTAAACCTATGTAAAATGATCGATAATCAGGGTGTTAGAATGGTATCCTCTTCAGCAGGACCTCTTAAAAAATTTGTAAAATTGTTTTTATTTATTTTTTAAACCAATCGGTCTTTTACGTAAAGAATTTGATTTTCTACTTATTGAAAGAAAACTTTTCCCTCGCCTAAAGCATTCTTTTAACTTTTTGGACCATACTTTATTCAAGTTCATTTGACGTTATAAAATTATCTCCAGAAGATGTGAAAACGTCTTAAATTTACTCGGAACTTTCGAGAAAATCTCGTTTTTCTTCAGTAGATGTGTGGGGGAATGGAAGAAAATCCCGTACTTTTATTGGGGATTTCTCTAGCAATATCAGAAAAATCACGAAAATGACGAGGGACTTTGAACATCTGAGACACAGGGCTCCATGATGCAATTTAGTTTTTTTCCCCTAAATTCTCAACGAATATAAATTTTTCATTTATGACAAATGAATTGATCGTTTTGGCTGATTGTTAGTGCGCGTTCAAATAGCAAATAAATATTTTCAAGTCGATTTTCGCTTCTTTTTTGTTGCAGTCCCAAATCTCCACCCAACAGTCCAAACACAGAACTGTCAACAGACGAGGATCTGAAAGGTGTCTTCATCAACTATAGCTACAAGGTAAGCCGATAAGCTCTCGCAAATTGATTCTCGCCGATAGTTTACCGGGTGAATGACAAGGAAAATTGGATCGCTGCGATTGTTTTCACCTGCGTGATTCGGTGTTAAAATCGCGACTCGCGGTCGGACCAATTGAATATTTTATGCTAATCCAACCCAGGAGAAGTGTAACGTAGCGATTATCGCTGTTCTTTGTCCGGCAGTCCAGCAACTCGATTTTGCAACGTTTCATTTTCTTTGAACCCGTGCAAGCAGATTTGCAATACGATTCTTTAATAGAAACAATTTTTAAACAATGATAAAAAAATGACGGAATGAAAGTGAATAGAAACGTGACACTTTATCTTGAATTTGCGGGAAATTAATGTGAAATTAATAATTTACTAAAAAAAAAAAAAAAATCCTCTTAACCCGTTTTTAAGTCAACAGAAGACACTCGTTCGAAAAAAAAACTATTACACGGGTGAAATGAAGGCACCGGCTTGGTGGTGGTATAGAGCATGACTCACCAACCCCAACCCCCCCCCCCCCGCGAGGACTCCGAGTTTAGACCAATAAATTAAGATCAGTATGATGTGGAGAAAATACAGTAAATTTAAATATACAATTTTAACCTCAAAATTGTTTAACACCATAATTTTATCTTACCCGCCATGAAAAATTTGCGTCTGGTTATTAAAATCGCTGACCAGTGGCTGCAAATCCAATCAATTATCGAAGAATTTGCGGGGCATGTAAAACTTGAGGGGCAGAATGAAGGAATCGTTGCCAAAGTCAGCAGCTTTTAGCTTTCAAATCAATTTTAACCAACAAAATTACAGGGCACCATGGCAAAACTACACTCGAAATCTCACCACCTAATTTTTTCTCCTCTTTTAGTGCATTACACTATTGCGTTTTCTGAAGTTTTTTTTGTAAGCTGAGCGTGCAGATTCACCAGTTTCTTTCATTGATTTTTTGAAACGACTCCTACTGTTTTTCCTGGTGTGTCAGCACCCGCTTTTTTCCCCACTTCCTCACGGGGGGGTTTAGTGAGTCATGTTCTATACCAGCACCAAGCCGGTGTCTTCTTTTCACCCGTATAATAGTTTTTTTTTCATGCCCCTCTTTCTTTCTGTCTTAGTTCGCCAAAGTTGCCAGACTCTATCGCATTTTCTTGCTTTTTCGAAAGCAACGTAATTCGCGAGTATAGGTGTCTGCTTAATGAGTTAACCGCTTTTCAGAAATACCGCTAAATTCATGGCCAAAATTGCCTTTAGAATGGGCTTAAAATAGTTACCGCCGAGTTGTGTCGTGTGTATTGCGATGGGTCGATTGATCTGTCATTTGAACCTATGGAAAAGGATCGATGTATCCAACGAACGCGAACTCCTAAATAATTGGTTTTTTATCATGGCCTCGCGTGGAAAAACCAGTGGCGTGGCATGTTTTGCAATATATCGATTGATCTGCCCTTTAAACCTATGGAAAAGGATCGATAAACAAGGTGTTTGCAACGAACACCTTGATAATCGATTCTTTACCATACCTTTAAGTGGGGAAATATCGATGATCGATCAATCACGCCACGCCACTGGGGAAAATATCGATAGCCAATCGATTCGTCCCTCGCTACAGTTACCGCCTTGCCTTTTGAAGTCCTTGTATAAGCATAAATAAATATGATCAACTATAGCTTTATCCTTGCATAGAAAAGGCTGATTGCAGAGGTGGACTCTCCTCTAATTAAGTATTGCACGGGCTTCAACCATAAGAGCTTCTTATTATAGCTCGAAGTTGCTCTCAAACAAAATCAATGGCGCCACCCCGTTTCTCGCCTAATTTTACATGGGTTTAATCAAACTCAACATATTTTAGAAACTCCGCTATCTCCGTATTAACACATCTTAAGTTAGGTAATTGCTGAGGCAAAGATCAAGTTCGCAGGTCAACGTTTTTTCGCCGAATGATGGTTGATGAGTATCTTGGTGAGCAACACAGTCAAATGTAATTCGCGCAATGATTTCTGATGAAAAGTCGAGGTAAGCGCTTTCGGCGCCACGGTATCGGTGTCACTTAGCGTGGTACATATCCTTCATTTATGCATATGCAACACGGACATCCAAAATGTACGAATAGTTGTATCTAAACCCCAGGTGTTGACAGTCAGAAACAAAGTGCGCCTTCAGTTTCTACGTATGCTTCACGCATATCCTAAGAGCACGAATAGTTGCTTGTTAGTGCCGTCCGCGACATCGCATTTCTCCCGTTTTATCGACAGGTGCAAGAATAAAGTCTTGAGAAAATGGACCTCTTAGTGTCCAAAAGGAAAATTTTATGACATGAAACCTCGGTTTATCGTCGTTCAAATCGTCAAAAATCATCCACAAGACTCTTAGAAATTGTATGAATGATCATAAATCGATGGATTTCATCTTCAACCATAAGAAGAGTCTTTTTCGTTTCATGCTACGACGGACGGCAGTGCGTGTCATGTTCCGCATGCTTGCGTGTTTATGAGGACACACAACAAACACGTTTTAAGGTTGGGCATTGACCGATGAGGGTACCATTTTATTAGGCGAGTTTTTGCAAATTAGGTTAGACTTACCAACTCAACTTTTTGGTTATCAGTCTCGGCGAATCCAAGCGATGACTTCCAAAAGTAACTTTAATAGTTTAGAAAAGATAGCAAGAGGTGGTCTCTAAAATAAATCGTTTGTGGGTTTAGTTGATTAAATTGCAAATCCTTAGCTCTTTCTTGTTGTGATTTGTCATTGAAAATGCAACACCGCTCCAAATTAAGTAATTAATACATTCCGAAGCGGTCAGCCGACACCTTTGTTGTACCGCGACGCGGCGACTTACAGTGGATCGAGTCAATAGGAAAGGTCAGACAACATTTGGAAACTTTAAAAGCCGATAACTCATTTTATACAAAACTTTGAGGTTCTGAAAGTTGTTTCATTGGTTCCCTTTTGAAATTTTCTTCTTGAAGCGCCCCTTAAAATTTAAAATGTGACGAATTCAGTAGCAAAATTTGCAGTTTTATAGTCAAAAAAATTTTGCCCGACCTCTCTGATTTACTCGATCCATTGTGTGACGCGGCAAGTTCTCCTCCTTGCTCAATTGTTCTTCGTTGTTTAGAAAGTGTTTTGATTCACTCCTGTTGGAATTAAAATTCAGAGGAGTGTAAACAAGATAAATACCCTCCTCCCTCTTCCCGGCGCCTAATAAAATCTCGGAATTACAGATGTCTTTTTATACCGCTGATGACGATCTCAGTCGTGAGCTAACTTATTCTTGTGCGCAGTTTCGAAGAAGTTCGATAGAAGAGCGAGGAAAAGTCGTTTTCTCCTTTCTCTGGAGTTCCGACCGTTTAACAAAAACGTTCCTGAACGAAGAATGCTCGTAGGAGTATCCGATGAAAAGTTTTTCTATACACTAAAATGTTTATGCAGTCACTGTGTGCTTCGGTAATTGAGGACGTCTTCAACAAAAAGACCCTCTTTAAGACTTTGCAGCTTGGCTCTGTTTTTTCTCTATAACATGAATGGGGGTCTAGGGATTTTGATTTTTATAATTTTGTGTATATTTTTGTTTTTCGATTCAGGAGGGGGTTGAAACCACCCGGAACGTTTTTATTCAAACATTTTTACCACGGCTTCACGTTTGTTGTTTTTTAGCCGTGGTCACCCGTTTTCTTGTGTTTTTTACTTGGTTCTTCAACCTCCATTTACAAGTGGCCTATCCAAAAGCTCTGCAATGAGTGTTCATTTGAATCTGCTCTGAATTCGTCGTCATTTTTCTGCGAAAATAATTCGTCTACGAATGAATTTCGGTACTTGCAAATTTCAAGCGGAATCGCAAAATCTAGTATCGTAAGCTTCATACGCCCATTTAACCAAGATTTTGTCTTATTCTCTAATTAAATTAAGGAAAATTCCATTTTTGAACGATAAAGTATAGATTTGGAATTAGGCGCGTTCATTCTCACAAGAAAAACAGGTTTTCATCTCGATCTTCGATCGCACCGAGGAAAGCATTTTTGTTGCGTCAAGAAGGGAATGAACTACGCGTCTTGAAACTTTGATTCAGGGTTGCCACAGTCAGGGAATACCAGAAAAATCGGGAAATGTCAGGGAAAATGTCAAAAATGTCAGGGAAAATTTGTTAAATCTCTTGTACTTGCGCTCTAAAATTGGTTTGAGGTTTCGAACTACAAATTTTACCTGAACACTATTTTCAATTATGTCTTTTTAACCATTTGCTATATCTGCAATTGTCAGGGAATTTCACCAAAATGTGTCAGGGAAATCAGGGAAATGTCAGATAATTTCATTTTACAAATTCTGTGGCAACCCTGTTTAATTTTAATAACCGAGTTGATCTTTGTCCCGTTTTTTTTAAAGAAGAAAAAAAAGTAATGAAATTAATCGATAACAACCGCCTTTTTATATCTATGCTCTTTTTAAAGTGGGTGACTGCCAATCATCACCATTTTAATTAAACCCTAGGAAATCCCTGTTAAGACAACAGAATACACAGTTAAGATCGTTATCGAGTCTTTAAGGAGGTAATCCCATTTCTGGCACTTGAGCTCAGAAACCGTCCTTTTAACTTTTATGAAGCTGCGCGTTTATTTTTAGCACGCTTGCTCTCCAGAACGCTCATTGAAAACCCTCCGGAATTTCATCATAACCGTCCATTGTTCTTCCCCGTTCTCATTGCGACGAGATTGAATGCAACAAACACCCTTGAGACGGTGAAACTATTAACCTAGTCAGGAATCTGGGTTGAGCTTGTAAACATGAGTCAGAATGTCGCCGGTGCCTTGCAGCAAGGAAAGACGTGGGTTTACACAATGTACAGGGTGTCAAGGGAAAACATCCCTCCCTACATACCTGTATCTTGGGAGTGGTTCGAATAGAAAGATGGTGAAGTAGCTGTTTGATTAGAAAGAAAATTTTTTGAAAGGCTCCTTAGTAGGGTGGTGAGAGTTCACCTAAAATAATCTCATG